ATTTAACCATGTCCCGCAAATGCTCGTAAAAAAACGAGACAGAACAAGATGAACATAGTTGAAGATGCAGACCTAAAATCTAAGTCCACTTCATAAAAAAGTGAAGACAAAACGGATCCATAGACACTTCATCTTTTAAGCCTAAAATTGCAAAAATTTAAGTTAAAATCCGCACTCGCAAAAGTCTACAAAAACAACAGGATAAGGTAGAACGGACACATTAAATAGTGCGAGTCTAAACCTTTGACATTAAACGGTGCGAGTCTAAACCTTTGATCAACCCCGTAATAGAGTGTAGGCAAAACAACATACTTAATGAGCTAATCCCGTTTTGCCATTCCTAGTCACAACCCATACCACTTTCGGCATAGTAAATGGACCACTTATCTAAATCATCCACATTTGTATATCCTCAAAGTTGATCCTTAATCTGTTTCTGATTAAAAATAATTAGGCACCCTTCCATTTCTCTGACTTTGTAACTATTGTTTCCTTCAACAATAGTTCAAAATCATTACAAATAGGTGAAGGGTCAAATCTTAAACATTTATTTAAATTTGGAATTAGTTTCATTCATACGCAAAAATCAAAACCACTAATTAAATAGTTACCAAGGTGTAACTCATTCACCAAAAACACAACAATTTATTTAATACAAAAACCAAGATTCTGCAATAATTTACACTTTCTAAAAATCCACAAAACCTTCTTCCTCAACAATGTTTTAACAAAATAGCAATTCAAATGTCTACAAAACAACTTTACTCCTTCCTATGTCACAAAGCTGTCACATTTCATGGCAACAACCTATACTGAAACATACATTCAATTTCTTCCTGCTATGGTTTATTTTTGAAATGACTGAATAAGAATAAACTTCATGCATGCATGCTAATAAATAAAAAAGCAATTTTGTCTAGCAAAAATACAAATTACATCAACTGCCGAAGCCAATCTAGTCTTCTAACTTTTTTGTACATTAAGGTTTCTAAAAGCACTTCACCTGTGAGGACCAGAAGTATGAGGCATAGGGTATGACATAGGGACCATGTTCATAGGTGCACCGGGTACAACGGTACCGGGAACCGGTGCTCGAATACCGTATGCAATATGTGGAGATCCAGATAGGTTCACCGGAGTGCCAACAGCAGATACTAAAGGTCCTCCAATAGGTTGTCCGATGGAAGGAGCAGCATATATTCCGGCGCCTGGTATACCGGCTGTGGATGGAACGGCTTGTTTGACTGATTTGTTTGCGGGGTTTCCAGAGGAACCGTTTGTTTGACCGGTGATTGGTCCTTGAGGCGTTGAGACATCTCCGTTGTTGACGCTAGTGATATCATGTATGCTTGATCGCCTTCTGTCTTTGTTCATTGAGTTCAATCGGATGAAGTACTTTTGCGCGTGGCTTGCTACTTGGGTTGGTGTTCGAGTAACCACAAAGTTTCTTGATATACTTCGCCAGTCACCTTTTCCGTACTTGTCTAGGCCCAGAAGGAATAACCTGTTAAGCCAATTAGAAATTATGAAACAGAAAAAGATGAGCCATTTAGTTAGAAACAATAGCAGTAAAATTGCAAAATTCAAACATTGCTGCAATCACTGATACTCAGATTCTACTATGAAAAACAACAACCATGTTTTGTGCCAGAACTTAAGTTATGGAATCTGCATCTTCTAACACTGAAACTTCACCAGCATGAATGATAATCTAAATTGGAACTAGCACAATAAGAATGCCATTTTATGCAAGCACTTTAAGATGCTAGCCATTCAAGAGACAAAAGATTCATCAAAAGACAAGAGTATCATGTTTTAATAATGTTGTGGTATAAATATAATTGACACAACTAGCAAATCTGATTTTTGTTGAGTATCGCACATTGGATGAAATACAGTCTGAAAATGACTTTATAAATGGTGACATCCTACCCCTAACAACTCGGTTTTGTTGGGTTAAGTTAGACCCGACCCAGAGTAATCAATAGCGGCCAATAGGGTCGCCATCCCGCTAGCGGAGCAGAGGCCGACTGCTATGGGAAGAGCCTTAACAGTGCAGAACACTATAGCGGCTGATATAGAGTAAATAGCAGGTAGCAGGGACAAAGCGGTTCTTGTCCCAGAGCAGTTTCGGTCCTGCTATCCTTTTCCCTCTAAAAAACCAAAATTACTCCTAAAATTTAAAACTTTTTAAGGGTAATTTTTGGTTTTCCAATCAAATTTGAGCTGAGACTCAACCCTAACCTTCCTTCACCGACATTTTTGCACTTCAGCCATTCCAAAGAAAAAGCAGAAGTTCCTCCCTCACCTCTCTCTGCACTTCGTTTTTCCCTCCGCACGTCGCATGTTTATAAATATTATTCATGAAATTTATCCAAAAAATGATCAAATGTCGGCCATCACACTATACGCTATCCAACTTTTGGGGTCGGCTGCTCTGCGCCGCTATCTGGCCCAACCCAAATTCTAAAATGGAATATCTAAGATTTGTTAAGTATCTGATATCTTGAGATGCAATATCAAAGATTTGTTCAGTCTTGGCCGCAAAAGAGGTGTTAAAAGTCCCACATTTGATGATATATGGTCTTAAAATAAGTTAATAAATTGGAGGCATCTCTAATCTTACAAGCCAGTTTTGTAGTGTTGAGTCAGGACAACCCAAATTCTAAGCACACCCGTAACTATTTTGTATCCTCTTAGAGAAATTCTAAAGGTGCATAATACATTTGTATTAAGTAAGCTAAAGAAACATAAAATCAAGTAAAACCTCAAGATAATACATTTGAGTTAGAAACTCAGTTTACACAGAAATTAAGTTGGTAGATGTAGAAATTTTCTTACAGCCAGAGGATACTTTCCTCTATTACTGTCTATAAAAGAAGGTGCATAAAACAGAAAACAATGGAATCAAACCAAGATTTTCAGAACATGATAATGGAAATTAATAAAAATCAATGATAAACCATGGCTTATAAGGAACCTGTTTTCTTACTCAGACTAACTAACCCAGTATTCAACAAAATTCACACTTCCCTCACACCATTTCCGACTTTTTTAATAACCACCTCACTGATAAGTTAATTAATTAATTGACAGAATGTAGCGAAGAAGATAAGGTAATTCGGCTGAGTTAGTTAGAGCTTAGAAAGGATAAGGGCTTATTTGGATTGACTTATTTGACGAAACAAAAACGAGTTAAGCAGTTGAAGAGAGAAGAACCATACAATTAATTTTTAGAATCTAGAACACAACTGTTAACTGAATATTGTGGAAGCATGTCAGCAAAAGGCAAAACGTCTAAGCAGATCGCTGTGCTTGAATGTGTCCAAGAAGTCCGCAAAGAACATCGGATGGAAATTGTGAAAGGGAGGAAGAGACAGATCTGTCAATAGCAAAGAGAGATGCGGAACATGTGATGGTGGATAAGAGATGGAAAAGTGAAGCTGAGACGGTTCTTTTTTCAAACAGTAGTAGACACGTTTAAAGCAGCTGCATGAGTAGTGGCATCAACTAGTGATGGTGTCGAAAATGGAATAAACATATAAAGAAAGATAAGTAATGATGCCTTTCAATTTAAGTGCTAGGAATTTTTGTGAGAGAGTCTAAGTTCTCTCGAAAAACCAGGATATTCAGTTCGAAGATTGATTCATTCAATAAATAAAACTGTTTTCCATCATCTGAGACAATTCTTATAACTCAAACAAGCGTCCAATCAATGTTGTCGATTGCAAATATTAGCGGTTTGTTCAAAATTTGTTGTGCTACAGTGTTATACAGCCGCTATTTGACAACACTTGCTACTAATAAGCATATCGCATAACAATCGCAATTTGATCAAATTTTGCTATGTTATAGAAGCTATTTGACAACACTGTGCATCCAATTAAAAGAATCAAATGACATAAACCAGTCAGAAGAAAAAGTAACTACGTTCAAGTGGAAGATTCTCAAATTCATATGCTCTATCATTCTAACGGGATTTTTGGTAAAGCAATCATAGGGTGCTGAAAGAGCAATGAGTCATCTAACTAAAAAGCTATCCGAATATTCAATAATTTCTCCTCCACTCCACTCTCATTCATGATTTATAAAAATAAATAAAAAACATGTTCGCAGCTGCCACAATATTTGTGGTTGTTGCACGATCCGCATCAGACTGCAATTGCGGTGTGTTTTAAATTTTATGAAACTTTGCAATGTAATAGGAACAATGACCTCATCAGACAACAACAGCCTTGAAGGATTTCTGAATGGTGATGAATTGAAGATGAAGGGGGTGGAATTTGGAAGATAGTTGTTAATTAGTACAGATAAACCGCAAACAGATGGATTTTACAGAACGCATGCAAAAGAAATTTTTAAGGTTAACAATTACTTACAACTAACCTCAAAACTATACACTGTAAAGAAAGAATTAAAAAAAAATTAAAAGCCAATAAGGGTTTGAGCAAAAGATGAACTTGCCTGTGTTCTTCTTCAGTCCAAGCAATACCCTTTCGCCGTTCTTGATCCGATCTCGAAGCCTTAGTTCCATGGTTAGACTCGTTATTGTGACCATTATGGCCACCACCCTTCTTCCCTCCAACTCCTTCATCGCTAGCATGACTTGTCGATCCCTCAGAAGAAGAATTATACGACGGTATCGGAACACAACCAGCTTCAATTTGGCCAACATCATCAACCAAGAGGTCATAATGCTGAGTAATTTCTTCCATAGTCTTCCCTGGTACATCAGCCGCAATCTTTTCCCATCGATCCGAAGCGTCCTCGGGATAAGTTGCCAAAGCATTTTCAAACGCTTTATCTTGCTCCCTGCTCCACTCAGAGCTACTATCCCCTTCATCCATAGTCATAGTCTCGTCGAAGAAGAGAAAAGGTTTTGAATTTCAAGATTCCGCCTAATAGCTCTAAATCTAGGTTAAGCACATCTTAAATACCACATCGAAACACAAACTCTCCGGATCTAGAATGTTTCTTTGGTGGTAATTCTGCCAATAGTATTAACTTCGGTGGTGATTCTGCCAATAGTATTAACTTTGGTGGTATGAAAAACTGTGGGAGAAGATTTGTTGTACTATAAGGTTCAGACTAAACTGAAATCACTGAGGAGAACAGAGTTCATTACCAATGAAAATCGAGAAATCTCTGAGGTATACGAAATTTTCAAAGATGGGTTTGCTTCAGAAATCAATAAAGGTGGACACTTGTGAATTCCTGACCTACTGATGAATGAAAAAGGCAATAGAGTTTCAGTTAGAACATGAGAAATATCAAGAATCTGACAAAAATAATAAAATCATAGATTCAATAGTTGATGACACTTTAAGGGAAGTGAAAAATTATAGAAATTATTGTGTGAAGTACTCACTGTCAATGAAATGGTTATTACTTAGCTATGATAATTATCTAATACAAAGAAAGAGACATTTCAATAACAAACCAAGAAAGAAAAACCAATATGATTATAATGGATAAAGAGAGCGTTCAATAAAAACACAAACTTTAGTTTACCATAGTTGTAATGATAGCAACAGTTTTCACAGCTCAGGCCCACAAAACTTTCACTCACATGAGTAACTACTCTAAACCTCATTTTCACTTGTTAAAACTGCATGTCCTCGATCGAAACCAGGCTCTGATACCATGTTAAGAAATGTGGTTAGGCTCTAATAGACTGATACCATTATAGAATTAGAGTTAGGTTCAACCACATTTCTTAACAGGCGATGAGTTTAGTAAAATAACGGTAGCACTAAGAAAACTAACCTCTTAGAAATTCAATGAAGCTACTCCTCAAATGTAAGTTTCATTAGCATCTGTAGAAAATTGTTATAAGAGAGATGAGATTAATTAGCAAATAATCTTCACTTAAAAGATGAAAAGTTAGTAAATAGCATTGGATGCAAAATGTCACAGGAACTGTCAAGTTTCTGACACATCAACCAACCATCAAATGAAAAAAAAAAAAGACTTCTTTCACTCACCTAACATATTACTACATTCACAATTAGGTAAAACCTAAGTATGAGAGTGAGTGTGACAGTAAAATTTCATTTCACCCACCAATTTTTTTTTCAATTTAAAAAACAAAACTAAAAAAAAATCTGAAAATCCATTAGGGAAAACCTAATTTGATTCAACCCTAATTAAAAAGAATTAAAAATCCAAACTTTGGAGTAAAACCCTAAAATTGAGTTAAGGGGGTAAAATTGAACACACAAAAAAATCATAAATGACATTGATGTGTTATCCTGAAAACCCACAAAGAGGTGCAGATGGGTCAATTTGGTCCCATCTCAACAACAGCTTTGCTACAAATAGGACAAGTTGGGGTTGAAAAAGCCACAACCCAAGTTGCAAAAACCACAGGAATCTACAGCAACCCATTAATATCTGACAGATAAATACAACATCAAGAGAGAGAAATTCAGGAATAACCCAAAACCAAATTTTAGACTGAGACACACACAGAAAAAGAAATAACCAAAAAAGATTCAATTTTTATCAACTTTTAATTAGTACTAATCAAAAAGATTGAATTTTTATCAAGTTTATGAAATGGTTAACTCATCACCTTTATCATTCTTCTTCTTGCTTCATTGATTTGTGAGGATTGTAACATAAACACAAAAGGGTCAAATGAAAGTTGTGTGTTTTGTGTTTGTATACACTGGACTGTTCTACTGACATGTCTCTCTCTTTTTTCTGTCTTGTTTTGATGTTATTAATTAATGTATTTGTTTAAAAAAATTATTTATAAATCTTTATGAGATATTTTCAACTTGGATAATATTTTTTAATAGAAACTTATCAATTATTTTGGTGTTTTTTTATTGTTTTGAATTCATTGTATGGTCACAAAGTCAAAGAATTCATATAAAATATGCCCCTTGATTATTTTGTAAGAATTTAAAAAAAAAATGTTTTTTTTATGTATTTATTGTTGTGAAAGAAAACAATCTACCTCTATAACTTTTTTTATATTTATTTTTTTAAGGTTAAAAATGTATTTAATTTCTATCAAATTTAATAAATTTGAGTTTAATTTCTGAAAATAATTTAATCATTTTAATCTCACTGTTAAAAAATGTATACTTTTTGTCATGAATTTTTTATTAGTAAATTATTAGGCATTATAAATATTTTTGATTTTGATTTTTCTAAATATTTTCACTAAATTTTAGCCTCTCAAATATTATGGCATAACTTTAGTTCTAGTTATTTAACAAAAATCCACTTCTTAATAACATGATTTAGATATTGATTGAATAAAGGTTTGTGTATAAAAGAAATACAAAGTTGATAATTAAATGATAAAATAAATTATAATTTAATTAATTAACTAAAAAGTAAATATATTTGATCCTCTAATATAACTCAAAAAAACGAAATTTAAGAATTTAGTAGACACAATTGTGAGGAAAAAGATAAGAGAATAGACAATCTTGTCTCCAAAAATACAAAGAGGTTTGTCTTCATTAGATTTCAAGTTTAAAACTCTAAATTGTGCATCCCTATTGATCATGGAAGGAAACAATTAGTTGCATGAGAAGGTTGGGATTTGTGAAAGTTGTCTTCTATCTTTATCATTCAGGTAGTTTCGTCTTGTGCACTATTTTCTTTGGTCACTCTTTAGTAAAACATTTAGGTTTTAGTTAGCATTTTCAATTTTTAAGACTTATTAAGTTACATATTTTAAGTGTGTATTCTTGTAGTTTAGAGTTTGCTTTTAGACTTCTGTAGGTAAATTGTATATATTCTGTTTCGTATTTTTAAGTGTTTTTACGATGTTTTTATACCATATATTAGAATATGAGTGTATTTGTTAGAAAATTAATTTAAGTTAAACCGATCGAGGATAAATCGTGAACGAAATTATTATTTTTATAAGTATTTCAAACACTCTCAAATATATGTCTTAGAGATGGAACGCAGGAATATTCAGGATAATTCAGTCTTTTATCGAGTTTGCGCAAGACTGACGAAAACTCGAATGTAATGAAGAGTATCTAAAATTCATAGTGAAACGCGTATGATTTTCAATTGTTCAATTTTTGAATTGAGAATGAAGTATTTATAGGTCATATTCGTATTGTTTCACAAGGTAGTGATCATTGATAAAACAATATCCTTTTACCAAAAATTACAATGTTTGTCATATAACAACATATTTCAAGAGTTACATGTTTTCATTCTGCAACACTTCAACACTTCTTGAAGTGTTGCCTTTCCGAATTCAAAAAACAACTTCACTAGCATATTTTTCTTGTCATTTTGGAACACATCCATGATTATTAATTATTGTTAATAATTTACAATAATCCCCCACTTGTTATAACAATGAAAGTCTAATTCCACAATATAGAAAACAAAAGAATGTTAATACAGTTAAGTATCTTTTGATTTAAAACTTAACCTTAGTAAAGACAACACAAAGTTTAATCAGAATGTTAGGTAGCAATGATTTAAAACCATTAATTCATGTGATTAGACCGGCGTTGCTGAAACAACCTGCCGAACCATCATCCGATATAAAAATCAATGAAGTCGCCACCGAACGTCTTTTATCCCGCCGAGAGGGGAAAGGTAAACATCGAGAAAACCTGAAGAGGGTGAAATTACGGTCTTGCGACCGAGAGATCAGGTAAGGGAGTATGTTACGCGAGGGGAAGGTATTAGCACCCCACACGCCCGTAGTACTCTACGGTATCCACTCTTGTTGTCTAATCTAATGGGTGTGTAAAAATCTATATCTAAGTTGTATAGGGAATGCATGCAAAAGAAAAGAGAAAATAATGTAGAAAAAATAAAAATTATGCTCGCTTGGGCCTACCCTAGTGCCTACGTATCCCTTTTAAGGAATCAGAGCAGCCGTAGTTCGGCTCATATATTTTGGTTGGTTTGTGTTTTTTTAGTTAAGAAAATAAAAGAAACAAACAAAATGGCAAAACATCAGATAGAACAACAAAACATCAACAATGATGATAGAATAGCAAAAGAGATGACAAGACATCGCATGGCAACACAAACTCAGATAAGGCGGTAAAACGCCAGCATGATAGCAAAATATCATACAAGACGATGAAATATTACACCTAACAATGACATTGAAAATCAAAGTAGGATAACAAACATGTACAATGGCGAAACATCGGCTACAAACATGTGTGATTCTGAAACATCGGCTAAGAGATAGGAAGATAACATGGCAAAGATGGCAAAACATCAATAAACCAAAGGACAAAACATCACACCTAACAATGATATTGAGAATCAAAGTAGGATAACAAACATGTGCAATGGTGAAACATCGACTAAAAGAATGTGCGATGGCGAAACATCGGCTAAAAGAATATGCGATGGCGAAACATCGGATAAAAGATAGGAAGATAATATGGAAAAGATGGCGAAACATCAATAAACCAGATGATAAAACATCATACCTAACAATGATATGGAGAATCAAAGTAGGATAACAAACATGTGCGATGGCGAAACATCGGCTAAAAGAATGTGCGATGGCGAAATATCAGGTAAAAGATAACAAAAAGTTATGGCAAGGATGGAAAAACATCATTAAACCAGATGATAAAATATCACACATAACAATGATATTGAGAATCAAAGTAGGATAACAAACACGTGCGATGGTGAAACATCGGCTACAAACATAACAAAATAACATGGCAAAGATGGCGAAACATCCATAAACAGAAAGACAAGGTCAAGAGGCGCACAAACAAATAAGATTGGTTTATATTTTTTACCTTGAAGAAGGGTTTAAGTTTATTAGAGATATTTTATGATTTGCCAAGAAGAAGTTTTAGTTTTAAAATGCAATATGCAAAGAAAGGAGAAAAAAAAACTAAGGGAAACTAATTTATCACTACCCATAATATTATCATACAATGATTGATCCTAAGGTGGAGGATGAAAGAGGGAAGCTTCTACCCTATGTTATCATGCATGGATTCCTATCCTAAGGTCTAGCTTGAGGACTAACACTACACGAGCAATCCTAAGGGAGCATGGTAAAGACCAAACAAGTAGACAAACAAGTGATTAAACATGAGTATCAAGGTACCTATGCAGAATTTCCTTAAACAGATCTTTAAATAAATTAGAGGGACTCCTGACATATATCAGCAACGGAGGTTCCTTTCATGCATCTCTATTCCTGCTTGTCATGATCTCTATAAAGCATTAAAATGCAGAGATAAGAATGAGGTCACAATGATACCTAACAGAGTAGGTCTGTTGCCTCTTCGAAGTGCATGAGATAAAACAAATCTACAGAACGACTCCTCGAACTTCCTTAATCAACCATTAATTAGGCATACCCGGGTTACGTCAACAATCGATCGCAAGGTCATAACACAAATGTCCACAAGATAAGGAAAGTGTTTGGGGTATGGGAGTTGAATCAGATTATGATTAAAACTAAGGGGTATACTTGATTAATCTCGTGAGAGTAGGTGCTCCTACCCTCAACCATGAGACCTTTTGTGCATGGAAACACTTGGTATATGGACCAAAGTGGTTGATTCGGGTTATGGTTAACCAAGGGTAAAACTTGATTAACCTCGTGAGAAC